GGGGGGCAGAAGCTGGGGGGGCCGCCAGGGGGGTTGGGGGGGTGGGGGGTGGGGGGGCGAGAGACAGGGGTGCGGGACCAGGTCCAGCAGCCAGACGGGGAGGGGCAGCAGAGCCAGAAGAAAGCAGCAGCCCGCAGTCAGGCCACCAGACCGGGGGGGGGTGTGGGCAGAAGGGGCAGGTGGGGGGCAGAGGATTGTGGGGTGGGGGGTGTGGTGGGCCAGGAGCTTGGGGGGGGGGGGGGGGGCGGGGGGGGGGGCAGAAGGAGAAGAGACAGCGGTGGCAGGGGTCAGCAGGGCCAGAGGGGGTGCGTGGGGGGGGGGGGGGGCAGCGCAGCAGGCTGGGCCAAGGGGTGGAGGGGGTAGGGGGGGGGGTGGCCGGGGGGGGTGGGGGGGGGTGGCCAGCGGGGGGGGGGCAGAAACCCAGCGGGTGTGGCAGGTGGCCCAGGGGTGGGGGTTGGGTGGGGGGGTGTGTGTGGGGGTTGGGAGGGAAGGGGGTGGCGGGGGGGGGGGGGGGTCCCAAGGGGGGAGGGGCGAGCCAGCAGGCGGGGGTGGGGGGGTGGCGGGGGTTGGACAGGTGGAGCAGCAGGCGAAGGTCCAGCAGCCAGGAAGGGAAGGGGGGGTGAGGGTGGGGTGGGGGGGGTCAGCAGCCAGGGCAGGGGTGGCAGATAGGATGGCAGGCAGGAGCAGGGCTAGCAGACATCACAAGCAAGTCAGCAGGAGGTGTGGGGGTGGCAGCAGAAAGGGGGGGGCAGCAGCAAGAGGGGCAAGGAAAAAGAGCAGAAGCCAGCAGGGGGGGGGTGGGGGGTGGTGGGTGGTGGTGGGGGGGGGGTGGGGGTCCCCCCAGATGGGGGGTGTTGGGGGGTAAGGGTCACAGCAGTAGGGGGGGGGGGGGGGTTGGCAGCCAGCCAGAGGGGTGTCAGCTGCAGCGGGGGCGTGTGGGTGGGGGGCAGGTTCCCAGAGGGCAGACAGGTGGGGCAGGTCCAGTCAGGGGTGGGGGGGGGGGCAGGGGTGGGCAGAAAGGTGGGCAGTCAGGTGGGGGCCGCAAAAGCAGAGCAGAAGCAGGGGGGGTTCAGACAGAGACATAAAAGCGGGGCATTTCCCAGCAGGGGTGTGGGCATACCGTGGGGGGGGCATTTCATTGCATATGGAAGTCCACATCATAATAAAAAAAAATCCGCGAATTTTTTAAATCCGTTGGATTCCCGTTTTCAACCCACAAATATTTAAAAAGTATATTTTGTGAATTTTTAAATAAGGTTTAAATTAAATTACAAGTTAAAGAGAAATATTTAATATATTTTCTACATATTAAAAAGACACAATATAATTTTTAAACAAGTTAAAGAAAACAAATACTGAACAACTTTTGAAAAAAAAAAAGATATGAGGAAGAAACACTCAATAACTGAAGTCTCAATTTAGTCAAAGGATTAACCCACAAATACCTATCAATGTATGAAACAAAGAGATAAAGAATTTCCAAGAGAACACAAACAGGAACCCTAAACCCAAATTCCGAAAACAAACGTAATTACAAAAATTTCTAAACCACGATAACCACCAGGGTCTTCAAAAATCCAATCTGCATCATAAACTAAAATTCAAAAACACTCAAAACACTTATTCGAATCATAACTCCAAAATCGCATCACCAATCAACAGGGAAGAAATCAAGAAACGAACTCCCAAAATGTGAATCAAAACGGTACAAAGAAACCCCCAAAATTAGAAAAACAAATAAACACCTAAATTTCCAAATTCCCTAATCGGAACAAAACCCCAATTAGAACCAAGAGAGAGAGAGGACGAGGGAATGAAGCCTACTCCCTACGCAAGCTGAAGGAAGAAGAAAAGAGTCCTCCGTTAAGAGAGAATTTTCTAATCAGTTCTATGTATATGTTTGATATCTCTATTAGGGTTAGCTCAAAAGTAATTGATAATGCTTTATTTTACCATATTTTAAGCATCATTTTAGTAGCAAAATCAACTCCTTTCTAACTTATAACTTGTTAAATCCTCTTCTTTTGTCTTGTTTTCTAAATAATTGTATCTTTTGCTACTTTGATGTGCTTTCATCAATAATCCCTTATTTTGTAGCTAATAATGAGCTTGGAAGGGTCTCCAATAATGTCTAAAGCTGAACCAACCATTAGAAGCAAGCAGATCTGCAGAAAAAGTGAAAATGATGCAGTGCTGAAAAGTCAGGCCCGGGCCCCCCTGGCTGAGGGGCGCCCAGCGCGAGCTGCACCAGAGGCCTCTGTACCAGACTGACCGAGTGGCGCCCAGCCCCCCTGCTGAGGGGCGCCGGGCGCAAGCTGCACAGAAAATTGACCAGAAGCCAGTTCTGCGTGCTTGTCGCGCCCGGGCGTGAGAAATGGGGCGCCCGGGCGCGACTTTTTCCGAGAGGCTCGCGCCCGAGCGCGACTGAGAGGGCGCCGGGCGTGACTTTTGCTGATGTGTCAGATCTAGCTTATTTAACCCTAAAACGCGAAGGGGATACGGTCTTTGGTTCATTGGAGGTGCGATTTTACGTCTGGAGCTCATGGAGGGCGTGAGGAGCTTGTGGGAACATCTCCTCCTCTTCCTTTGGGTCTCCTTCTTCTTCCATCTTCCATGTTTTAAGTTTAGAGGTCTCCATGGAAAGGAGAACCCCAAACCCATCTTTGTTGGGATTAGTTGTAGCCCTTTGAATCTTGGTTAATTGTGATAATTTTGATATATATATGCCTTTTCTATCAATTGCTAGTATTCTTGTTTCCGATCTTAAAGCTTGCATGTAATGGGGACGTTCATGACTTGATTTTGGTGTTTCATGGATTATGGGGACGTAAGATGAAACCCAGAACTGAAATAGGAGTCCTTGTGGGTCATGGATTATAGGGAGGAAGATGCATTCAATGTGTCTTAGATCCTAGCTCTTTACTGCGGGTTTGCTTGTTAGAGTGCCAAGGGAATTGGGGTTTGATAAGGAAAACCTAGGCTCTTTCACCTAAGGGATTAGGGGCTAGAGTTTTAGTGGATTGACTTTAGTAAATTGATAGAGAGGAGAGGAAATTGGTTTTACACAATAGTGCATTGGTGAAAACTAGCCTTAACAATGTCATTTCATACCATTTCTAGTCTTTTCCATTTTCAAGTGCCTTCAATATCAAAGTCCAACCTTGTAATTATGTTTGAATTTACCTTTCTGCACTTGTTCTGTAAATTGTGTTATGTTCTTGAGTCTATATGAGTGTTAATCGCAAAATTCTCTAGTATTACGAGTCTCTTGGGAAAAACGATAACCGGTCTTACCGGTTTATTACTTAAACGATTCGGTGCACTTGCCGAAATCGAGCCCAACAAGTTTGGGTCATCAGTAATGTAACTCTTTTTTGTCTTTTCCTCTTTAAAAAAAAGCTAATTGAAATGAATCCTAAGTCATTGTTATTAAAAATTTCCCCTTTTTAAGAGTAATAAAAAATTTAATTTTAAAAAATATTAATTAAATTTTATTATTTTTTTTTCGGGTAACAAGTATCCGCGGGTTGGATAGTATAATATTCGCATCTGACTCGTTTAGAAGCGGGTATTAAAATACCCGCTACCCGTTATCCACGGGTAATAAATATCTGCAGATAGTAACTATCCGTCGCGGGTTTTATCTGCGGATATTCACGGACGTGAATTTTTTTGTCATCCCTAGTTGTTATTGGGTTAGTTATTTTCTATTTTTTTTCAACTAAGTCATTAATAATGATATAACCACCAGGGTCTTCAAAAATCCAATCTGCATCATAAACTAAAATTCAAAAACATCAAAACACTTATTCGAATAATAACTCCAAAATCGCATTCACACAATCAACAGGGAAGAAATCAAATAAAAACGACCTCCCCAAAATGTGAATCAAAAACGTACAAAAGAAACCCCAAAATTAGAAAACAAATAAAACCCTAATTTCAAATCCCAAATCGGAACAAAACCCCAATTAGAACCAAGAGAGAGAGGAAGAAGGAATGAAGCCTACTCCCTACGCAAGCTAAAGAAAGAAGAAAAAAGTGAAGAAAAAAGTCCTCCATTAAGAGAGAATTTTCTAATCAGTTCTATGTATATGTTTGATATCTCTATTAGGGTTAGCTCAAAAGTAATGTAACTCTTTTTTTTCTTTTCCTCTTTTAAAAAAAGCTAATTGAAAGGAATCCTAAGTCATTGTTATTAAAATTTCCCCTTTTTAAGAGTAATAAAAAATTTAATTTTAAAAAATATTAAATAATTTTTTTTCGGGTAACAGGTATCCGCGGGTTGGATAGTATAGTATTCGCATCTGACTCGTTTAGAAGCGGGTATTAAAATACCCGCTACCCGTTACCCCCGCGGATAATAAATATTTGCACATAGTAACTATTCGTTGCGGGTTTTATCTGCGGATATTCACGAACGTGAATTTTTTTGTCATTCCTAGTTATTATTGGGTTAGTTATTTTCTAATTTTTTTCAACTAAGTCATTAATAATGATGGCTTGAATCACTAGATATGATATTTTAATTAGTTATTTCTAAATGTATTTAAATTAAGCTGCATTTAATAAGAAGATACACTTCTAGCCCGTCAATATTCATCTATTTTTATTCTCTTAAAACCAACCATACTTATAAAGGTTTTCAGAATGGCGCTGCTTTCAAAATTTTGAAAATGGATGAATTTTATTATTTTATTTTAAAATAAAAATAAATTTCAATTAAGCTGCGAAAGTTTTTTTTATCATGTAAAATATTTTTCTATCTGAATCTTTAAAATTGTCTTTATTTTTTAATTAAGTATTAATTGTCTGAAATTTTCGTTATAAAAAGCTAACTATAAAGATGTAAAATATATGATAAGAAGATTCTACATTTTAAGGATCATCATTTGCACTCGTTATTCTTCAATCAAAAGTATATCTTTTTTACGGATGCATGAATAAGTTGATTAGTGAAATTGATAATAGAAAATGTACAGTTATACAATAAAATTTACCTTTATTCTGTTTTAAGATTGCCTCAATGGGTGGTGCCGGGGCTCGTTGACTTTGTAAGAACATCCACATGTTTTCCTTTGCCATTTCAATATCCAGTCTCGCGGATTGGTTTTGAGAAAATCTGCCATCAGGGTGGTAGAATATTCCGTTGTACATTATTGGTTCAGTGTTGACTGCTGCTAGGGATAAATATTGCTCTGTAATGCAACTATCAAGTCAATAAGATATTTAAATATATATATATATATATATATATATATATATATATATATATAGATAGATAGATAGATAGAGAGAGAGATAGAGAGAGATAGAGAGAGGAAAATAAATATAAGTTTAGATGATTTTTCTTTTAATAAAAAATGATATTATATAAATTTTTTTATATCGGGACATACTATAATGATTATCATATAAAACTGTAAAGATCAGACAAATTATTTAACTATGTAATTTGTTTTTTAATTTATGAAAGATTATTTTTTTAGATTTAAATAAATTGTATGTATTAAATTCACATTGTAGAGTATGCTACTCGTAAAGCTGTTAGAAACGTAATTACATTTCAATATTTTACATTCACTCGAACAATTCTTGAAGATTCAGATTCATTAAATGTGTATTAATAGGATGGAAAGAGAAGAGGTTGGACATAATTTGAGAAATATTTATCCAAAAACTTAATTATAAAATAAAATATTAATTGAAAAAATTGGAAAGGCCTAACTTATTAATAATTAGCAATTAATTATTCAGTAGTACAATTCTCGTTCTCCGACCAAACGATTGTGAAATTAAAGAAAAAAATAATAGGTGAAAATTGAAGTGTGTAGGAACTTTTATACCTTGGTAACGAGGCATTACTCTGGTCATAAATCATCAACAATGTCTCGGTAGCCTTTCTCGATTGCTAAGTGCAAAACTGATTTGCCACTACGGTTTCTACGAGTAAACCCGGTTTCCTCAGCCAAATGCTTGAAGTCTGGTGAAGAATCTAGAATGTTAATAACATTTTTGTGACCATTCAATAAAGCCTCATGAAAGAAAGTATTTCCTTGGAAGTTGGCTACAAGGATTGTCAATTTAGCTTCTTCCGAATTTGGATTTAAATCACGGAGAAGTGCAGCCACCAATTTCTCGAGAGTAGAGATGTTGCCAGCTCTTGCAGCAACATGCAGTGGCGTATCACCAGTAGTGTTTCTTGCTTTCAAAAGCCCTGGACCAATTTCAACTATTTTCTCCACACACTTATCATTTCCGTAGAGAGCTGCTATATGCAGCACCGTGTTTCTTCTGGGCCTCTCTTGCTTTATAGTGTCGTCGTCTATTTCGCTCCAATCGGATTCAGGCTTCTTCTCTTTTATCGAATCGTATGTTTTCTTTGGCAACAACCACCAACCATGTGCTTTAGCTTCATCACTGCGTCGTTCTTCTGAGCTTTCTATCACATTCCTTGAAGGTTGTTCTTCTCCGTTGTAGTTATTTTCCACGTCATTATTATTCATACATATCTTCCCTCCACACCTTAGAAATTTCATCATGCTCCTTTTCTTCAACAATATAAGATATGTTCCTGGCCTTTCTGCTCTGCTTCCACCTGCCTTTTCTGTCTAAAAATACCAAACTATACACACATATCAATCTATCCATTTTAAAAAGTAATAAAAGTAAATAAATGATAACACATTAAAAATTACACACAAATTCTAGAACAATATAAAAAGACAAAAAATAAAAGTACTAAAATGTAAAATAAATTTTAGAATAATATAAAAAATTCATATCATTTTATAGATAAAAATTGAAGTTTTAATATGTTCTAAAATAATTACGCAAGAGAAATAAAATTTATAAATATCCATGTTCACTAGAATTTAATAAATGACAACAACTAATATAATTACAAAATATATTATTTTCAAATATTACTTTCACATTTTACTATTTTTACAATTTTTCTATCCCCTTATCTTACAACCTATCAATAAACTAAGAAACAATATTCTTACAGCATGTCAACTACCTTCAACTCTTCTTCGTATGTTCCCTCCTTTAAAAGTTCAGTAGCTTCTATATATATATAGAATCCACCATCATAATGCAGTGGTATTAGCTCTCTCAGAATTATTTCTCATTAATGCTATCTCTCCAACTCACATGTCAGTTTAAAGACAATGTTAAAAAAATGCTATCTACCCTGCTGTCCTATCATTTATTCAACATTAATTGCACGCGTTTTCCACATTTTCTTTTAGAAACGCAATAAATGAGTAAATATTTAAACAAAATTAAAATTAATTAAAGGACTTATTAATAATATTTTAATATCTTTTTTATGTAATAATTATTAATTTTATTAATTTAATTTATGTAATTTTTTAAATAATTTGAAATAATTTAGGCTAATATTTGAAATTGAAGAAGAGAAGAATAAATAATTTCTAATTAATATGTATTGCTACGGATTAAATACAAATAAAATTACATAAAATGTTTTTGATAGGAAGCATGTCGTCTACAATAACAATATATATGAATGATTGATATGGCAAAAAAATTAAATTTTGCCCAATATTTTTTCAAGAAGTGGTATTTCTTAAAAGTTTTTGTGCCATGAATTAAGACTTCAACACGTGATTTACCTCAAGATAAGTTTAATTAAAATATGTAAACATGTGTTAATTTATATAATGTTTAATAATTCTTATAGTTAATATTTATGTTGAGTTTTCTTAAATAGGTTCTTTTCTTATTTTTTTTCTTAATTAAGTCCTTAAAAATAAAAAATTGAAACAATTGGGATCATTAAATTGAGTTAACAAAGTTAAATTTAAGGTGAGTTGACAGTATTGGCTGGAATAATTAGATTAGGTGGCACATGTAGAGCCTCTTAGGTGGAAACTTGTAATTAAAAAATTAAAACAAAAGGGTTTCTGAAATGTGAAATTAAGCATCATCAAATTAGGGTTAACCAAAAGCAAATTGGGAACGAGAGTGTTCAAGATTGGAGACTCAACAAATCACAGAGTGTACAATGGTCGTTACTGGAGAGGGTTTTTGCGCAATTAGGGCATTGGAATGCAACATTTGTTCGTTGGAATCACGAGCTTGGAGGTGAAGCGCGAAGTCGTTCGACGTGTATCGCAAAGTAGTTGGAGGAGAATTGTGTTCAAGGTTAGTATATGTAGTATTTGGGGTTTGAATTTATTATTGGGTGTTTTTTGTAGTGATCTGCGAATGTTTTTTCAAAAGTGGGGTTGGGGTTGTGATAGAGGACTGACTCCTTAAACATATATGAGAAGAACTTGAATAAGAACATTTACAATTCAAAGGATCTATGACAAGGTCAAAGATCAAAACATATCTCTTTGAATCTTATAATTTTCTATGAAAAGAGAAATTTAAAGAACGTGAAGATCATGAGCACAATTGAAGAATAATTTAGAAAATTAAATAAATTGTATTTTTTTTTATTTTAATTGCAAACAATTTGTTTCTATTTTTCAAATTATTTTTGGACCCAATGTCCTTGGGTTTTCTTTTAGGGTTTCTTAGTACCTTAAACATTTGTACCTATATATAGGGACACCAAATACATATGTAGGCACTTTTTAGTCATAATATATGGATTTGCATTTTTGAGAGAGGATTCTCTTGGTTCTTGGTTTAGAATTCTGATACTTATCAAACATTAACATCTTTGTGGCGAACCTTCCTTGAGTTTTTAATTTTCGTTTTTTTTATGTTGTTCTTTTAATTTGTGTATTTCTACATTTGATTCATGGAAATTATCTATTTTTCTTTCTTGTGTTATTTTGTTAATTGTAGTCCCAATTAAATCTTTACCTTCTTGATCTTGCATGAGTTTCGGTGTTTGAAGGATGTGTTGAACTTCCAAATTAATATATATATATATATATATATATATATATATATATAGATATATATACAAAAACAAAATCATCACCAATAGCCTTTACAAAGCAACATAAAACATAGTAAAACAACAAACACCTCAATACTGCAATTCTACAGCAACCTCATAATCAACAACAACAATAACACAAATAGAAAACATAATCCGTGACTTTATGGTTCTAGGCACCTGGACACTAACGAAGACCCCTCCTTTCACCCAAAAACATCAACACGTTCGAAAACAGAAAGGAATCACCTTTACTCCTTGGTCAAGAGCGCGAGAGAGGGGGAATGCGAATGTGCTGGTCAAGAAATGATGTAGGTGATGGTGGAGGTGACTGTCGACGTCACAAGGGTGAGAAGTGAAGGACAAATGACGAGAGTGAGAGTGGGCAGAAATCAAAAGTTTTCAATAGGAGAAGAAGAAAGGACGAGACAGAGAAGAGAGAAAATCAAAGAAAGTTGACGATGGAGGATGTCGCCAGTAAGAAAGAAGGACAAAGGGAGAGAGAGCAACCAAAGATGGTGAGAGAGCAAAAAGAAATGTACCCAAAGAAAAAAACGAAGAGTTTGAAAATTGATTTTGGAGAACTATATTTTAACAATCCTCCAATTTAAAACTAATTCATAAAATAACTTATCTCATAAAAAACTCTATAGTTACATTATATTATTTTTATACTTTAAAAAAACTTAATTTGTAAATACAATTAATAATAACATACCAATAAAATAATTAGAAAAAGAAATATAAAAAACCTAAAAACTAAACATTTAAATTATCACGGTATCTTTGAATATAATAATTGTATTAATTTTAACATTTTTAAGTCAAAAGTTTACAACTTATTATATATATATATAACACAATTAAGTCTTTTCTTTTTTTTTATTAGAATGAATTTATGTAATTAATAATAGTAATTAATTTATGTTTTATACTGGAAAACTATCTATTACTACAAAATTATCATACTATGCAAAATAAAGGCGAAAATTCAAAATGTCTTTCATCATATTATAAGTGCTTTTTTTCTCTCTTGTTTAGTTTTTTCTTTGATAATTTATTAATTTTTTTTTTTAAAATTTTATTCATATACTTTTCATAACATAAGGACTCAATGTCTTCATTTTCAAAATCAGATACTAAACAAAAATTCACCACTTAATATAAAACGAAGTAAAGATTTAAATCTATTATAAAACTTGTGTCTAGAGAGGCTTTTGCAGTGCAACACTTCAATTATCGTTAATTAAAATCTCGATTCAGACGCGACTTCATCATTCCCACGTAAGTCGTTTCGGTCAAGTACGACTTTATTTAAAAGAAATTGAAGGCGTCGTCCTCTGTAACGACTTTTTTTTTTATACAGAATCGTGCACGACTTACATGCATGGTAGTTTTTTTAATGTTTACCCATTTACATAATTTCCCGAAAAAATTGTATCACTTTTATACTTTCCCATTAATATACACGTTGATCTTATTAAAAGAAAACCGTACATAAGATATTTTGATAGGATTAGTTAAAGCAACGTGGGACCTGAAAAACACGTGAAAGCAAGAGCAGTACTTTGCAAGTTAACCTGACAACACGAAATTGCTACTCCCTCACCTACCACATCTGCGTAAGTTATAATTCAAAAGTTGAAACACAAACTTTCATATTTCAAGAAAAGAAAAAAACTATTATGAATTATTAAATCTGAAATTGATAATTTTATTTTTTTCACATTTAATGTTTTAAAAATAGTTTATGCATTTTCTGATCATTAATTTAAAAACTATTATTTTTAATTATATAAATTATTATATTCGACGTGTATTAGAATGTAGTTCATTCTGAAAATGAATTGTAAATCTTGAAACGCTATATGTAATATTTTACAACATATTAGTTATAATAGAACAATTTCAAATTACTATTTTGAATGGTTTAATTTAAATGATTTTCAAATTTGACAATGCAAAGAAGAATAAAGAATACAAATAGATGTATGAAAAACAAAATCAAAGATACATAATAAAGCAAAAGCCTTGGATTATTGTCTCTAAGATTAAGGACTATTTATTTATTAACCTTCAGTTTTAATTTTCCGGTGGTTGGTTTCAACTGTACTTCTAATTTATTCGTTTTTATGTTCATAAATATGCCATGTGATAAAATTTAGTTATACATAGTTTTGTTCCGTGTGAACTTCTCTCAAATAATTGAGAAATTGTGTTACTATCATTTCAAAATAATACTGTTGTTTTAGTTATATAACATATTTTAAAAAAGACCAGTACTTTCATATTTTAATAAATGATTAATTTTTTTTCCAATAATCAAATCAATTATTTTGATTTTTTTATTTAAAATAACTTATTTATAAAAGCCATGAAACAATTTTAATGAAATTATTTATAAATTATATATTGTCTGTTACTTTTAAGATTTAATTGCTTTATTGGTCTCTACTTTCATTACACTATGTCAATTTAGTCTCTACTTTTAAAAAAGTGTAAACTCTTTCTTCACATTTTTGTGTAATGTGCATTAATTAAGTTCATTCCGTTAAATATGTAGAAACAAGGTTAATTGTGTGATAATGTGGCAAAATAGTATAGTAACATGACAAAAAACATTTGAAAGGAGTACATATATTTAAATTTGTTGTGCAACAGTGTTGTTGACATGTGTTTACAAAGGAGAAGCTTATAGGTGGTTGTCCTAAGTGAAGTTTGTACCCCATGTGGAGTTTAGAGGTTACTATTTTGAGTTGCCAGTTGTGCGGTGGGTCTTAGTTGACAAAGTCTTCTTCCCTCCTTGCGAGTTGGTTGACGAAGTTTTCTTCTTTTGTTGGGAGTTCTTTGAAAAAGTGTTGTATGCTCTTTAGGGTTGCTTCACGAAGTCTAGTCCTATCCTTGCACGTTGACTTAGAAAGGGGCAATGTCATTATTAGTGTTGCGCATCTTGCTCATGAGGACCTCTCATGGTGGTTCATCTAGAGGATTGGTTAGAACATAAATATGCCATTGTGGAGAACTTGATGTCTTGAGAGTGACAAAAACTGTTAAGAACGAGGGGAAGCAATTTTGGGACTACCCTAATTACAAGGAATTGTGGTGTTCATCTTGTAAAT